CCCAAATCAGAGAGAAATGTTGCAATTGGCCCAGCATTTGAGTCTGACCTGAAGCCCTGTGAAAGGCCTGCTGACTGTGACTGCAATGTATTACACAGTTCAGATATGCTAACATGAGTGGTCTTTTTAAATAGCACAGTTGTAATATTCCCTGCTTTTTTGGATTCCTCCTTAACCCCAACCATTCACTTCTCTTGTTATCAACAAGGTGGTTTCATATAAATCTATCTCACAATCTCTATCCTGCTTTTCCAGAATGATACTTTCAACATACTAGGGAGGGGAACCTTATCTGAAGTGAAAGGAGCAGTGAATGCTGGCAGTTATTGGCAGTGAGGTGACATGATAAGTGTGATTATGTTGTGAAGAATATGACATCTCCATGGTACCCACTCAGGGGCTGATATACAATTTTTGCAGATTGTGCACCTGCCCAGGAGCCATTTGGAACTTAGGGGCCCAGTTATACTAGACTAGCGTTAGATCCGTGCTGGTACCCCTCCCACTCATGTACATCTTGTCACGGATTACTGTTGTCTCGTTGTGAATTGATACACACAGAAAAAGTGATTTTACTTAGCCACTAAGTGAATGGGTGGCCCAAAAATTGGTCTTGCACAGGGGCCCTTTGCTGACTTTCACTGTACGCAGGTTAGCCAAGGTCGGAGCCAAGGTCGGAGCCTGTAAGCACTTCTGATGTTCATGCTCTGCTATTATTCTCCATCAATCCATCCTGGAATCTCTTATATTTTTACAGAGGGATGACATCATGTGGGAAACTTCACAATTGCTGTAATAATACGGATCCCTCTGTTCTATTATTGGCTTCTCTGCAGAGTCCGGAGACGTAAAGCAGTTTTCTAGTCTGTCCTTGAATGTTATTGAATTTTATCCAACCTCTTAATATTTAAAGAGTCTTTACAGGCAGTTAGTTAAACTTGGTGACAGTGATCCATATGCGATCCTTATGGGAACTACAAGTCCCGTAAGGCATTGAAAGACTGCCAGAGGAGTGACTTCCAGAGGCAGAGGCATGATAGTATTTGTAGTTTTGCCACACCATCAGAGCAATGGGAATTCTTCCCAATGACCATGGGGCGAAGGGGGTTCTTCACAGTAAGATCAGTTAGGGTCTGGAACTCACTGCCACAGGCGGTGATTTCAGCAAATAATGTGGAATTGTTCAAGAAACTTTTGGACGATTTCTTAAGGGACCGTAATATACAGGGGTACAGGTAATATACAGGGGTACAGGTACTCCTAGAATGAGATCCTAATAGGTTGGACTTGATGGACTAATGTCTTTATTCAACCTCAAATACTATGTAACTATGTGACCATTGATTGGGGAGTTGGAAAAATGAGAGCACAACACTCATTAACTCTGCCCAGCATGCGTTTTTTTTTAACTAGACGTAAAGGTAAAAAGCCAATATGTGTCAGGGGCTCACAGCTCCCCCTTTATCAAAGCTTGTATGATGGTGCATGATAATACTGTACAAGTAATTATAGGAAATTAAGATGATGTAATCTCATTGGTGGTCAGTGGCGGGAGCCTTCTCTCACTCACCACCAATGTAAGAGACAGCCTTCTCTCATTGACCACTAATGAAAGAAGGACCTTCTCCCACTGACTACCAATGTAAGGGAGAGCCTTCTCCCACTGGCCACTAACGAAAGAAGGACCTTCTACCACTGACCACTAACGAAAGAAGGACCTTCTCCCACTGACCACTAATGTAAAGAGGAGCCCTCTCCCACTGACCACTAACAAAAGAAGGACCTTCTCCCACTGACCACTAATGAAAGAAGGATCTTCTCCAACTGACCACTAATGAAAGAAGGATCTTCTCACTGACCACTAATGTAAGGAGCCCTCTCCCACTGATCCCTAAGATAAGGAGCCCTCTCCCACTAACCACTAACGAAAGAATGACCTTATCCCACTGACCACTAATGTAAGGGAGAGCCCTCTCCCACTGACTACTAATGAAAGAGGGACTTTCTCCCACTGACCACCTGTGTAAAGAGGAGTTTTCTCCCCTGACAACCAATGTAAGGAGGAGCCGTCTCCCAATGATGACCAATTTAAGGGGGTCCTTCTCCATTGACCACCAAAGTAAGGGGGGGGAGGGGGCTTTTCCAACCACAACTAATGAAAGAGGGACCTTTTCACTGACCACCAATATAAGGATTTATATTTTCGTTTTCATGGTCTCCATTTCTTTCCTGGTCAGTATTATTTTAATCTTATTTATTCTCATATCCACAACTTTTTCTTCATGCAAATGTCCTGTGATCTCTAGATATAACAATTAGAAGGGCTTCCTTGAGACCTGAAACTTCTTTCAAAAGTTTCTCCATGTTGAGAGAGGCTTTCTTGGATTAATAGTGGAAACCTCAGTAAATGGGAGTGTTGTGCTTTTCAAAAAACAGCGATACAACTTTGGAAGCTCAAAGCAAAAACCGACTGGAAAGAAAAGGAAAAAGTGCTCAACAGGAAATGTGCCCTGAGTGAGATACGTAGTCAGCAATTGCTGACCTCTGCTGCTGAAAATACAAAGTGCCTGGCTATTGGTGTTATTATAATAATTATTATATTATTATACAGGATTTATATAGTGCCAGCAGTTTACGCAGTACTTTACAATATAAGAATGACATTAGAGTTACAATACAAATCAAGACAAGATGGTAAGCAGGTATTGTGCTGATCCAGTGGCTTTAATACTTTATGTCTTTGGTTGCTGCATACTTGTTCTGGGCCCTTACTGAAGCTAGAGACAGCTAGGCAGCATTTTCAGACGGTCATTGATGATAGTCTCTGTATAGCCCTCAGCACCAGTTTCCTATTACTGCTTGAATATAATTGTTTTCCTTTTTTTGGGTTAGTGTTACCCTTTTTCTAATCTAACGTGCAACCCCCCTTGTTATTGCGAGGTCTCTATAACAGTTGGAGAGCAGATGCTCCATTTGAATCTACACTATTACCCACCCATGTGCCCTAAAATCATTTTCTTCTAGTTGATGGAACTTGTCGATCTGCATGTAGCACGTGTTGTCACTGAGACGCTTCATTAATCTCAGGGCCGTGACTGCTTTATATTGTCAGCCTTTGCCTGGCTTTGCGCACAGTTTACATGGGCCGGGGAGCTCTGTAGATTCTGAGAATCGATTACTGGGAGGAAAGACGCATTCAAACAGCAAACATTTCACCGAGAGATTAGATGAGTAATGAGGAAATTTCAGCAGCACAAGAATAGCCGTGTTAGGGGCCTTGTTAGGTCGTATATACACAACAGCAGAGGGATCACAGACAACACCAAACTACTTCCCATAGAAAAAAATGTAATGGACAACTCTGTCTGCAAGCACACAGCAGCCACTTATCCCTGATCTTCGTTTTTTCTTATAGTAAATAAGATTCATTTCTTTATTTTTATCTTTCAATAAAGGGGAACATGTCTGCTAGTAACATTCATCTTCCTAGACAGGTAACATGGACAAGTCTTGTACTGCCATGCCACCTCCAGAACGAGGAGTGCTGTAATCTGATTGGTCGCCATGCAGCGCTGCACACTATGTTCTTTGCAGTATTCATTAGGCTTCTTTGTGCATGTTTGCGGGACTTCAGGCGAACGTTATTCAATTTCTCAGCAGTCCTTTCCACAAGAATTGCGCTGATCTCATTCCCCGGAGAGCTCCGCTTTACTTCAGACGAAAAGCTAAAAATGAAAACGAGAGATTGTTTTTGTTGGGCCTGCCAAGTGCTAAACAGTTTACATTCTTCTCAAACAAGATTTTTTAAACCAATTATTTTCTTTTCAAAGGAGCCCAAGACTAA